CTCAACAATAATATACTCTTAAAGAAAAGATGTCAAGCAATTAATAATGAAACAGAATTGAGTACAGATGTTGAAGTTATAACAAGTCAAATTAAAAAACTTAATATAGAACAGCAATACCAAAAAGCAAATACAAACTACTTTACAGAAACAAGAATAGAAGTTGAAAAAGAAAAGATCAATGAAAATGTATCAGTAAAACCAACAGAAACTGAACAAATAGAGTTAGAAGACCTTATATTATTACCTATTTTCTCTTTCTTCTCTTCTTCCTTCTTATCTTCAGCTTCAATAGAACACAATGATTGGTCCCCTAGGTACAGAACATGTACAGGAAACAAGTCCTTCAAGGGCAACTTCCCTACCTATATACTACCTGAAGAAACAAAAGAAGAAAGAATTAAATATGTTCAATAGATTCTAGGAGAAAACAAACATATAAGAACAATTAAAGAAGCTTTTAAAAAGGAAAATAATTGGATTGAAGTTGATTTTGATTGTAAGCACAGTAGAGATGAAGCAATCAAAAGAATTAGTAGGAAAGAAGGAGGATGGCTTAAGCTTATTCTAGAGAAGACAAAAAATAAAAACAAAAAAAAAGACCAAGTTAAGCAATCAAATGTTAAAAGAAAACAACCTGAACATAAATCATATGAGAAAAAAGATAAAGATGAAAATCTTTTTGTTAAAAAGAACTAGAAGAAACTTACACCAACTATCTAACCATTTGGGACCTACTAGCAAACATAAATAGAACAGAATTAGATTTTATTTGCAGAAAAATCAAAAAGGCCAACATAGTTAGAATCAAAAGATCAAAGTACAAAACATTGGCAGTAATCAAAACAGATAAATATAAAGATAAAGACATATCTTTGTCATTACCAATAGATAATAATAAACTAGTAAGAGAGCTGTCAGATATTAGCTGATATCATAGGGTAGGGGGGGGGTATAAAAATATCACAGGTTTAATTTTGGCCAGCATTAGTCCATAATTTTGGCCAACCATATAATCATTCTTTTAGCCAATTGACATTCAGCATATATCAGTGGTCATATCATAATTAATATGATTGGCTAGAAATCATGCAGATACGTACATACAAAATACATCATTGGCTTAGATCTTTTATTTAAGTTGCAATTTAATTTTAATTTATTCGAAAATATACATTTGAAACACGAAGTGACAAGACTATAAAATATAATATAGTTTCCTTCATACTCTATCTTACTTTATTCAAGATCTTGTTGTCAGAAACTTAAATTTTCAAAACCTGATTTTTTTTTTCTTTTGTAATATGCACAGTCTCTATTCCACTACTTGTCGTCTGAAACACAGTCACAATTGTTAGTTTCTGGTATAGTTGAAGTCAAACTCAAGCTAAAATCATCAAGTGAGTTTAAAAGTGTAGTGTGTTTATGTTTTTTTTGTTTCATATATTTAGATTTTTATGAGTTGTGATCATCTTAAGCATAGGGAAATATTTTCCACAGAAAGTGCAGCAGAGACGATGATGCATTTCAGGTGAAATAGATGGACAATGGGTGTTATAAGCTGGTAATTTTAATATATCAGCATACTGTAAGATATAAACTGGATTAAGGTAATATTCATCCTGGCCTTTTGAAACTGGTAGAAGAAACCCATCATTTTCTGCAAGAAAAGCAGCAGATTCTTCATGTCTTTTAGGATGGCAACAAATTAGATCATTACATTTTCAAATATCAAGGCTGTACTGACAAATTTGCGTATGCCTTTCCAGCCATTTTCAAAAAGTCATTAACTCTTCTTCATTGTCTTCTATTTAAAATAGTGGAAGGTTATCTTCAACATACTGAGTCATAACATTCTTACTGAAAATTAAGTCTCTGCTCCAGAGTGTACACAAGGTTTCTCCAGTATGACAAAAGTTTTTTTTGGCAAGTTCTTGGTTAATAACTTTATCCTGGCTATCCAAGTGAGAACCAAAGGTATCTATTGATAAAGTTATACCTACAAGCTTTCCAGAGAGTGTGCACATGGCTCGTTCAACAGAGTTATAGGCTGACTGGCTAGGAGCATGGGTTCTTACTGTGAGATAGTCAAGATCAAGAAATTGAAACAATTTACAATATCTACAAATGTTTTTCAGATGCCTAGGATTTTTATCAGGCCTCCCATCAACGAAAAGAACTCAAATCAGTTTAACCTGATTATTATTTTTAAAAATATTAGTAAAGGATTCTTGGTTAGTAAGTTTAATTAGATCTGCCATATGTGTATTAGAACTTGTGCTGATGTTATATTGGGGACGAACAAAAATACCCAACTGGCCTTTGCAAAGTGTATCATTAGAATCTGAAGAGTCAATGGCAAGGTATACGGAGGGAATAAGTTTTTGATGAGCTCCTATAGGAAAATCATGATCAGCAAGAGTAACAGTTTCATGAATAGTTTGCATTGTTTGAAAGGTTTTGCCAACAGCTGGGATTCCAAGTGGAACCTTTGCTTTGTCATCTTATGATATGACAACAGAATAATGGGAAAACATTGCAGCGAATTGTCTAACACCTTTAACTGAAGCGAGGCAATAGTGCTTATCAGTGTGTTCATTTTTTTCTGATCTAGAAACATTTGTAATAGCTACTAAGGCAGGATGGTGATGCACTCTTGCGGCAATACTTGAGAAGTTTTGGGGCAAAAGGTAATTATTAAGCATAGTCCTTGAAAGATATTCATTATATTTTATTTCGAGTGCTAAATGAAGATGGCTAATCATTCTTACTTTAATAATTTCATGCCTTCGTTTGCTATGTGCCTTTCCAAACTCAATACAATCGTATATATGTTCATGAAGATCTGGATAATCAAAAAGAAGAGGTGGTCGACCAGGGCTATCATATATTACAACTTCCTGATTTTTATGGTCTTTTCAATTTTTTTGTATTTGATTTTGCTTGATAGGCTGCATTACATTTTAAAATACTAATTTTTTTGTTTCTTTTTCAATTATCTGGTTTACATCAAGAATTCGATGTAATATATTATTTTTGAGCTGAAGATCACTGGTTGCTCCGTAGATTGCTTCCAATTCAACCAATTTTTTAACATTTTCCTTTTTTATAGCAAGTGATTTTTTTTGTGCTGCTGCATTTTTAGAGACTGTTTCATCTACAACAATTATGATAGATGATATAGATATTGTTTCTGGACTAATGATACTTGATTTGAATTACAAAATAGGTGAGAAACATAAGATTGTATAGGAATAGGTGTAGTAAGATATTCTCTAATCTTGTTATCAATTTCATTTTTCTTTTTATTTTTAACAAGCTTCCATGCTTCCTTGGCTTCTGTGCATAGGTTTTTTTTTGGATATGATGGATTTCCTGCTTTGATCATGTGATAGTATCCAAATGTGTTTGTAAAATGATGATATTGCATTTCTGGATTTTTGTAGATAGATTTTTTATCATATTTTGATGTGGCAAAAAATTGTTGCATTTCATATAAAGTGGTTGCAGATATCAATATTTGACATTAATGATTTAGAGAGGTATTTATTTTTATGTCTTTATACTGGTTTGTTTCAAGTACTCACAATTTTTTTATTTTATGATATGCTTTTGTATATATGCATAAGGAAAACAACTACTTTGACACAGGTTTGTAATTCATTTTTATTATTTGTTTATTACACTATTTACAAAATAAGGTAAATGATCTTTTGATTTATTTTTATTTAGTGACAAATATATATTTGATAAAATTAAGTATTGTAATAAATTAAAATCTCATAGCACTGTGATTATAATTGAATGATTTATTTAATATTAATTTATTACATAAATTGATCTATTTAGATCACTGCGTTAGAAGATTTGTCACAGTACTAACTTCACCAGATCATGTTTATAAATAGAAGCCTTTTTAGAAAATATGATTGTAAATATTTTTAAGAGTGAAGCCATGGGTCATATTGCTAGTTAGTTGATCACATTTTATATTAACAATCTGATTATGTTAATATAATAGATGTGAATTGGATTGTATGACAATAAAAAAAAATTATTTAGACATGACTTATATGTTTAAGGATTAAGTGTTTACAAAATAAACCCAAATGATGATTATTAGCAAATCAAATTTGGATAAATTTATTTTTATTCATGTAACCTAAAGTGTTATTTAATTGACTAGGCAAATATTTGACATGATAACATATCTCAGGTAGAGGGAGAGGAGGCATCTCTATAATAAATTGATCTCAGCTAATATCCGACAGAGCCCTAAGAGCAATGAAAAGGAATAAAGATTATGAAGAAAGAAATTACCAAAGCCAATTTATAGCAAAGTTAACAGAACTTCCTAGAAGTGTATCAGAAGTACTTTTGTTATAATGTTTAAAAAGCAAAGATGCAAAGTCTGTTTATATTTCATCAAACAGAAATTGGAATCAAAGAAGAACAGCAACAATCACCTTTGCAATAAAAGAAGAAATGAACTTAGCCCAAACTAAACTAATCAGATACAACAATTTCAGAGTTTATTGAGTAATGGATAAAAAGAAAGAAACAAAAAAGAGAAAAAGTTTAAAAAACAGAAGAAAAGAAGATATAAATGAATCTGGTCAAGACACTAATTCAGAAGATTATGAAAGTATAGATTCTCAAGAAAACAAAAAATATAAAAATAGAAGAAGGAACAGAAAAGATGTAAATACAGAAAATCAAACACAAATGCAAGACCTTTTACAACACATATTAACTAAGCTTGAAAGACTTGAAATACAAAAAGTGCAACCCAAAATTTTATCAAAAGAGAATGGTCACAACGCTCCTAATTTTTGCTACAGTTGAACCAAAGAACAAGAGTGTAGAAACAAAAGTCTTTTCAATACAAAAAAAGAGAAAACAAACTACAAATCAAAAAAACATACTACACCTAGAAGAAATTAAAAAAAAGACTAAAGAAAGAAATGAAAACATAAAAGAAACCAACTTAAATATAGCAGTGCACAATATCAATAACCTTAAGAGAAATAATCAAAAAATAGAAATGCTGTATGAATGGCTAATTAATAATAAAATAGATATAATTGGGTTATCAAAAACAAATATTTCAAGCAAAGAAGGTTTTTTTGTTACAAAAAATATGAAGGAATATAAGGGTTTCTGGGCAAATTCAAATTCAAAAAAGAAAAAGGGCTCGGGTGTTGGCATACTTATTAATGAACACTGGAAAAAACATCTTGGAGGAATAGATAGAACAAGTGAAAACATGATTATGGCTAGTTTTGTATTCAAACAACTAGAAATATTAATTATAATGATATATATACCACCTAATAACAAAGAAGAATGTAAGAAAATTCAAAGAGCAGTAATTGAAAAATACATCAAATGATTACAAAGAACACAGGTAATAATAATGAGGGACTTCAATAGTGTAGTTAATAATGAACTTGATAGATCAGATAACCTAAAATGAAAGTCAGAAAAACAAGATTCTCTTCTTAAGTGGTTAACAAGACAAAAGCTTTGTAACATATATAGAACAATAAATCCAGAAACCAAAAAATTCTCCTAGTCAGGCAGGGACTCAAGTTCAAGAATCGACCAAATATAAATAACAGAAGATCTATTATACAGACTCTATAATGCAGAAATACAAGAAATGGATATATGCACAAATAGCAATCACAATGTAGTACTAGCAAAAATAGATTTAAAACACTTAATAGCTATATGGGGTCCAGTAGAACTTAAAAAATTTGGTCAACAAAGAACAATTTACCTATATGACAAAGCAACAAAAGAAGATTGAGAAAACTACAAAGCAGAGCTTAACCAACAACTAAAGAAAAAAATTAATATACAAGATTTAAAAAACATATCATATAGTTTAAATAATGCAAGCATGCCAACAAACATAGAAAATCAATTAGATAACTGGTGGGATATTATCTGTAATGGCATACAATTAGCTGCAAGAAAATCACTCCCTAAAAAGAAAATACTCAACACAATAGAAAATAAGAAAAAGCAGACAAAAAAAGCAAAACTTACCAAAGTACTAACACAATTAGGAAGATGGATCAGAATTGGTAGAATAAACATCAGACTTGGTTTTCTAAAGAACAATATACAAGAACTCAATGAAGAAATAGAATACATTAACCAACATCAAAAAACATATATCAAATTAGCGTCTAAAGGTTGGATGAAAGAATTAATAAAAGATCTTAAAGGTTGGTAGAAAATATTCTATACAAGAAGATCAAGTGAGATTGAAACATTAAAGAGAAGGGAAATCGAAAAAAATATAGAATAAAGGTGTTAAATGATTAATGGCAAACAGAGAAAAATGCTTACAAGTTTGCTCGACAGACCAAGTAGTAAAATCAAAATAGACAGACTTATAAAAGACACAAATGGTTATAGAGAATTGATTGTGGAACTATTAGCAGTCCTTGACAAGACCAAAAAACATTTTCAAAACCAATTAAGACTCTGAAATTTTAGAAAAGAAAGTTTAAATAGAGAATGAGAAGAAATTTACAAACCTAAAACATCAATACAGCCAGATTGGTACAAAGATATAAGCCAGGACATTATAGCAGATGAATGGTCAGAAATGCTAATAGGTTTAAAAAAAAATACAGCATCAGGAGTTACAGGAATCACTTACCAGCTTATACAAGCAGCAGGACTGTATATATAGGAGATTTTCGGAATCTTTGCAGAAATATACATCAAGGCAGGTGATGTTCCAAAAAAATAAAAAATATTACAAATATATCCTATACCAAAAGAAACAGAATAGCAATATAACTTAAACAATGTCAGGCCTATTGCTCTGCTAGAAACTTTAAGAAAATGCACAACAAAGATCTTGACGAACAGATTAACACAAGTTTTTACAAAAAGGAAAATACTTAAAGGTCCTAATTTCGTGGGTCTTCCAGGAAACTCAACAGAAGAACCTGTACATATTATTAATGCACTAATAGAAGACGCCAAAGACAATAACAAGGAACTATGGCTGGTTTTTCAGGACATGAAAAAGGCATTTGACTTGGTATCTCTACAAGCACTAGATCTGGTAATGAGAAGACTTAAAATGCCTGAAAGAATTATAAATTTCATATTGAACCTATTTGAAAACAGATAATCTAAAATCATTATGCATTGGAGAACTACAGAAACATAGAAAGTAGAAGATAGTATTGAACAAGAGGAAGTATTATCACCATTAGTATGAAAAATATTTTATAACCCATTACTCAAAAGAATTCAAGAAGACTCAAACCTTGGATATACAGCTGAAGTAGACATCCTATACAATTATAATCTTAACTACTGCAAGAAAATAAAATGAAGGCAAGCAGTAGTAGTTTTTGCTGATGATACAACGTAGATTGCAAAAAAACAAAGAACTAATGGAGCAGACAATTCAAATTGCAGAAGAGTTCTTTAAAATCAATGACATTCAAATAAATGGAAAAAAATCAAAACTAGTGATCATAAATACAAAAGAAAGCATAGAAAATAGAAAGATACATTTAGGTAATGAATAGATACAAGAAGAAAATGTAAACAAAATAACAAGATTTTTGGGAATATAGTTTAACAACAAGCTAAAAGAGTCTTTAGTCAAAACAAAAGCTCAAGAAGTTGTATGTTTAATAATAAGAAGTCTTGAAACAAAAAAAATAACAATAGCACAAGTAGCTTACATTAATAACATGTGTATAGTACCTAAGCTTACCTATTTGCTACAGGTAACAAAATT